GAAAATACAATTTTGATTTTTATCTCAGTATCATTTGTATCTTTTGTAGCTTTGGGTTACAGAGAAGAAAATCAAATCATTAGACAGAAAACATTACCATTCTCTATTAAAATATAACGATGTTCCCCTTAATGTGTGGCTTTAAAGGCTAAATAAACCTAAGAAACTTCCAAGATGATCAGGAAGGCAAAAAGCTTCTAACTTGAACACAAGAAACTTAACTGCTCTGATATTTAATGATTCATGAATTACAGGGCAGGAATATTAATATTTTTCTAGTATCTCACTGATAATCAGCATAAGGTGGTTCTCAGGTTACAACCAACTATCCAAACTTGCAAGGGTGCTGAGTGCTGCTTATAAACCGTGCTTGGAGTTCAGGCCATCACAGTATCCCCTGATTTCTGATGTTCCCTGCTGGCTTTCGACAAGTAAAATAAGTAAGAAAGTGGGCAGGGAGTCAAGTCGTGATCATGTGAGGTCCTCACTTAATGAACCACATAGACCTCATTTATCAACACAACCGGGACTGCTGGAACTGCCCTCGTAAAGTGAAATGGTCACATGATCTTACACTTTAAAATCATGTTGCTTAGCAGTGACAATTCCAGTCCTAATGGTTATCATAATCCAATGATATCACAACAGAAAACAAATTTCCCACAGAATAATTTCTATTTCAACTGATGCACAATAAGCCACCATTCTAAAACAAAGGGCAAGAACCACTGATGTAGATGCGACAGCTTACGCTCAGCTTTTATACTCACATCTACTATCATCCGGACTGTGGGCAAAGTGGCAGTGAGGTTCTGAGCATGTGGAGGCCGGACAGTTACTGGGATACAGCCAGCATACAGGCAGCCATAAAACGCTGCAATGAGTTCAATGCCTAGAAGACCAAGAAACAGTGTCATATCATCCTTCTCCATTTATGTTTGCTTTGGCCGAAAGCTTCTTAAGAGTCACAGCACTAAGACAAAGTTTACAAATAGGACAGCAAGCCAAGGAGGCAGACTGAAGGAACTTGACTACACAAAGCAAAAGATTAAAATAAGACAAATAAGCCACTGTGAAAGAGGAAGGGAGGAAAAAACAACATTCAAAGGGGAGTTTTATTCGAAGCAGTCTACTTTACAAACCACTTCAGTGAATTAAAACAGAAACCTGCTCTTAGTGGAGAGGAAAATTCCGGAAAAAACAGAAGAAATGATTTTTTGTAGTAGATTCATAATCGTTAAATGCTATTTGTCCAAACAAGCACTGAACATTTCCAACAGAGAATATGGATATACATATAGCTAAAAAATAAGAAGCTGAAAGTTTTTGAAAATTCTTGGGACTATATATGAATGTGTCAGGACCATATCTACTGGCAGGAAAACATGTCTCTTACTGCTTCAATTAGAATATGAGGTAGACAAAGGGATTTGAAATATGACAAGGAAGCACCAGTGTGGTTTGATAGAAACACAAAGAGATCCCCTTCACCCAATGACGGTGAATCCATGACATGTGTGTCAAAGGTGACGTTTTGGGTGACACACTAGCATTCACTAGCACTTGTCAATAACTATTCTTCAAAGCATGCCCCTGTCTAGCATGATTTTTGGAAGATGGATGAGAATGGGTGTGCTCTTGCGCAATCTCTGAAAGTCACGCAGCTTCCGGAGCCTCCGAAAATCATGCAAAAATGAGGCATGTTTTCATGTGGTTTTTAGAGGCTGCAGAAGCCACGGAAGGGCATTCTCCAAAGCTGCTTCAAAAACAAAGGCCTTGTGCAATCCAGAGCTGCTCCAATTTTTTAAAAAAATGAATATGCAAACAATTGTTTATTTTTTCTTTGGGGGAGTGACATACCAGCAGAGTCATCGGGCATTTTTCAAATTTTTGACACGCTGAACCTAAAAAGGTTCACACCATCGTTGCCTTAGCTACCTCTTCATATTCTAAAGCTGAGTTCTCAACTTTTACAGCTTTGCAGACTGGGCCGGGGGGGAGGGGGGAGGAGGAGATGGTTCTGTGCAAGCGGCGGGCAAGTGTATGGGCAGCCCCATTTGTGTGCATGAGGAGTTTGCACGCATGCTGCTTGCGCTGCTTGCAAGAGTGGGGATGCATGCATACGTGCATGTGTCATCCGCCACTTCCGTGGCCCAGTTCCAAATGGCTCAAGGTCTGGTAATGGGCCGTGGCACGGGGTTATGGGGCCCTGGATCTAAACAATTTTTTGCTCTAATTTGTTTTGCAGTTCTTGAATTTCAACTTGACATATCAAAGGCTTCACTTCTAATAGGTGCAGCCACCTTTTCCTGTAGTTCAGTGCCTCATGAAAGTTTACACCTTAGACCTGGCAGGGAATCCCATGTAAACTCCCCCTCCTCACCCCACACCCCTCGGATTCTCGGTGTTCCTTACCAGGAGGATAGAGCAGCACCACATTATCCCCAGCATTGAGGTGTCCCTTTTCATACAGAATTGATGCAATTCGCTCCGCTCGCTTATGCAGCTGTAGGCAAGTTGCTGTACAGACAGGGGCCCCCTTGCAGAGAATAAAAACAAACAAACTCTGAAAGTCTGCCCAGCTTGGAGAAATTGCTTCAGAAACAAAGACAAGCTGCTCTCTTGAGTAATCAGAGGCAAAACATGATTTTCAAGGAACATTAGGGCCATTGGCTTTACAGGATATGCTGACACTCTGTGTTAAGAGGGTATGGCGTAACATCAGAGTTAAAATGAAAGTAATCTCATGAGTTTTAAGGGGAAATGTTAAGACTTGCAACATGGATTTGAACACCTTCTCCAATATTTGCATGAAGAAGTTACTGTCTCTTAGCCTTACCCCATTTTCAAATGGAAGTAATGCTAACCTACACCAAGCTAGATGGATGTGAATGAAAATGTCGGCAACATTGTGTAGGTTTAAAAGTCATTTAAAATCCTATGTTTCTCAAACAGACAAAGTCCCTCAAAGAGAAACCAAACCAACCAACCAAGCTCCACAAACAATCACCTCATGTCTGGAAGAACAGCAATGTTTTTAAAGGCTGAAGGGTGAGACGTCACAGGAGTTCAAAGCACACAAACATTGGGAAAATGCAAAACTTTTATCTCTTACCTTGGCATTCAGCAAGAGGAAAAGCATGTGCTCAGGAGTCGCCTGTGCTCGCCACTGAAGCACCTCAGACAGAAACTGATGCTGCAAAAAGAAAAAGAAAAACAATCAGTAAGTTGTAGAGCACCGAGGTGTGTCTCTGTGTGTCAAACCTGCGTCATCCCATTGCCGTAATGTGACGCATCGTGACCTTTTTTCTCTTCGTGGAGCTGAGGTGGGTAGGCCTGTGTGTGGTGCATCTGGCCCGCGAGCCGCAAGTTTGACACCCCTGTTGTAGAGGCAGTCTTAGGTTTGATGGAGTAAGGTAAAGGTTCCCCTCGCACATATGTGCTAGTCGTTCCCCACTCTAGGGGGTGGTCCTCATCTCCGTTTCAAAGCCGAAAAGCCAGTGCTGTCCGAAGACGTCTCCGTGGTCATGTGGCCGGCATGACT